TTCTGGCAAATGGTTTCAGCATCGGAGGGCCAATTTGGACATCATGGGGGTGGAGTTGGTGAGAAAATGAAGGGTATGGAAATAGACTGAGTCTAGAAACCAAATGAAGAGGTGATTGGAGGCATGTGAGGAGGGAGTCAAGTCTTGGAACTTGCTCAACATCAAGAAGGACTGAGAATTGGTCTTGCTCTAGCTGATGTCATTGTGATGTCTCCCTACATGCTACAGAAGGAGTCCAGAATCCCAAGATGGCCTTGCAACGATTCTTTGTGTCACACTGCCTATCTTCTAAAGAGCTTTATTTGTTTATATAGAGAGCATTATATTAATGATTTAATTTTAGCCATTGAAGGGAATAAAGAAACTGTCTTTTTCATGTCCATAAATCTTGTACACAGTAGGCATACCATAAATGTTCAACCAAATCATTATGAGGGAGTGAAGTTAGGAAGTAGGACAGGAATGCATAGTCTACTCCTCTGAATCTGTTCAGACTGCCCACCCGGATGCATTAACTTTCTCTGTATACTAAGGAAGGAGCTCTGAGGGGCCACAGGACCCAGAATAAAAAGTTTTTTCTAGTCCTTAAAATTGTAAATGACCATGCAGACCACAATTTTAATCAGAATGCATGTCTTTCAGCTCCCCAAGTATGCTTTTTTGTTGTAGTTTTAATAGCTTTATTGGTATATGTCATATATCATACAAGTCACCCATTTCAACTATAGAATTAATGGTTTCTTATTACACTCACAGATAAGTGTAACCATCACAATTTGAGAATATTTCACCACCTCAAAAAGAAACCTATAATCTTTAGCTATCACCCCCTCCTCTTTTTTTTAATGTTTATTTTAATGTTTATTTTTTAATGTTTAATGTTTTTTAATGTTTGAGAGAGAGAGAGAGAGAGAGAGAGAGCATGCGCATGCGCGCATGAGTGCGCACATTAGCAGGGGAGGAGCAGAGGGAGGGGTAGAGAGAATCCCAAGCAGGCTCTGCATTCTGAGTACCACCTCACAAACCATGAGATCATGACCTGAGCTGAAATCAAGAGTCAGATGCTCAACCTATTGAGCCACCAGGTACCCCAACCCTCCTCCCCTTTATTTATTTTCTGTCTCTACAGATTTTCCTGTTCTGGAGTTTCATATGAATGGAATCAAACAATATGTAGTTCGACGTCTTTAACTTAATGTAACATTTTCAAGGTTCACTCATGTTGTAGCATGAATTAGTACTTCATTCCTTTTTTTGACCAAATAATATTCCACTATATAGATACTCCACATTTTGCTTATCCATTTGTCAGTTAGACATTTGAGTTGTGTTTTAGCCCCTATGAATAATGCTGCTACAAAAATTTGTTTTTGTATGGACACACATTTTCATTTTCTTGGGTATATACCTCTAAGAGTAGAATTGGTGAATCATAAACTAACTCTATGTTCAATCATTTGAGGAACTGCCAGACAGTTTTTCAGAGCAGCTGCACCATTTTACATTCCCACCAGCAGTGTATGATGATTCCAATTTCTCTATATCCTTGCCAATCCAACTATGCTTTTGAGAAATAACAAGGACAACTGCAGGGATCCACTCTGATCTAGATAGCTATTACAGAGAAACAGCAAGAGGAGTAGAGTCCAGGGATGGAAGAGGGATCCCTCTTCTCCTGTAAGCTCTTAGGGACATCCAGAGGGAACACTGCCATCTTTAGTACTCTCTGTGATTCCCCGGGCTGGGTTAGCTGTCTTCTGACATCTGCCAAAGGATACCTATACCACTGTCTCTTTTCCCCACTAGATTGTAAGCTTTGGGCAGGCAGTGATCTCTAGTGCTCTGACTTTATCTGCAGCACCTGAACAGGAACTGGCAAATGGCAGATGTTCAGTAAATGCTAATTGGCTGACTGACTGAGTAAACGATTAAACATTTCTTTACCTGTGATTCTTGTCCAGGGAGGAGAGGAATGGATCAACCTCAGGGGCAAAAGCCTTCAAGAAGGGAAGCAAGGAAAGAATAGATGGAGGAGAAAGGTAAAGTCACACAAGAAATTTAGAGACCTAGTGTCCCTTAAGGCCAACCTTCTGATTATTATGAGGTCAAACTCGGAGCTAATGGACCTACCCTAATCCTTTTTTGCCTTTCATCTGGCTGCATTTTTTTTCTAGAAATTTCCCTTTTTCTTTTTTGTTATTATTTCTAACAATTTTGTCTTTGCAAGGATAAGAAAGTATAAAAGTAGTTGCTATTACAGGTAAAAGACCACATAAATCAACTCACCAAAACAAATTCAGAATTTTAAAGAATGGAGGTTAAGAAGGTTGACTATGAAGGATTTTTTTAACTAAGAAATGCAGAAACCATAATCTAGGTTTTCCTCCTTATCACACTGAAAGCCCTATATCTAACAAAGCTGACTATATTTTCAGTGACATAACAACATGACCCACCACTCAGCCTTATCCATGATGGCTGGCCTTCTTTCCACACAAATCCTGCCTCTTACCTGACTAATCTGTGTCCAGTAGTCACCAGGTCATTGGGTCCCTCTCTCTCCTTAGGTCCTGTATCTGTATAGCCTGAATCACTTCCTGTCTCTTCTCTGAAAGCACAGACGCATGCATATATTCACACAAACCTCATCTTTCCTTTTCATGAATCCTCAGGGTAGGTCTCCTTCTCCATTTCATGTGTTTGGAAGAAAAGAAAGCAAAATATATGAGATGCCAATGCAATTTCTCCTTTAGCAGAGCTTCACAGGACAATACCCACCCAATCTGCAGGGTTTTATACCTCTCATAACCATCCTTTATGAATATATTGTGACAGCCGGATGCGGGCACTGATTATGGCAGCAGTCTTCAGCTACATTCCTATTTAACAAAGCAGAGCTCCTGCCTACCGGCTCAACAGTGTTCATGTGCCTTTTTTTTTTTTTTTT